ATGTTTGGGTGTTCATTTTTTTATTTTTCAAATTATCCAATCATGTGTCGACAAGTGTCTCCTTTTTTTTTTTTTAACATGTCATTTAGCATGTTTGTGTAGCATAATCGTTATACTAGAAATGAGACTCAAACAGAACCTCAATATGAATAAGCATAAACTTTCGGATACGTTCTGCATTACACAATGAGATTAGTGCACAACTTTTGTTACACATATTTTTATAAGACAAATAATACAAATGTTTGGGTGTTCATTTTTTTATTTTTCAAATTATCCAATCATGTATCGACGCGTGTTCTTTTTTTTTTTTAACATGTCATTTAGCATGTTTGTATAGCATAATTGTTATACTAGAAATGAGACTCAAACATAACCTCAATATGAATAAGCATATATTTCTGGATACGTTCTGCATTACACAATGAGATTAGTGCACAACTTTTGTTACACATTTTTATAAGACAAATAATATAATATGTCATTGAACATGTAATTGAATTTAGAGTTCTATGTAAAGAATGAAGTGCAATTCAAAGTTTGTGCAAAAAAAAAAAAGAAAAAAGGTGCTTATTTGAAATTAGGCAATCGAACAAACTCGAGATTTGCCCAACATATTTGATTTTTACATAGCAAAATCGAGATTTGTATAGATAACTCGACATTCACCTAGCATACTCGACTTTTAAATATCAAACTCCAGATTTGCTCAACAAATTTGAGGTTTGCTTAAAAAACCAAAATTTGGTTTTCTAACTCGTCAATGTTGATATTTGCCAAATGAAAACTCGTTATTTTACCCATCAAACTAGAAATTATATACGACAACAAGTTTGAAATTTCCTTCAAGAAAGCATATAATATGAAATGTAGAATTTTCTGTGCCAATTACCCTTGTTATATTAGGGATTAATTTAAAAAGACCAAATAAAAACTACAACGTAAAATGTACAACCTTTTTCATGACTGAAACAATTCCAATTTTTCGTTTATTTGGCCTCCATTTGGATACTAATTTATAAGTAGTTTATTAATTCAGTTAAAGTCGAACATTAATTTCAACTTCACATTCATAACCACTACTCGTTATTGTCTACAAATTTCATGATTCTTACTATTATTCTTCTTCAGAAGCTATTTATAAATTTGCCAAACGGAGGCTTTAAGTTTTAATGCTCATCAAACATTATAATACTTGTTTTAAAAACATTTTTTTTCCCTGTTGTGTTGGCTAGGGTTTAAATCCTCTCCATCACAATCTTATTTTACTTTTTGAAAAATTGTGCAATGAGTCACTAACCTTTAGCATTTTTGAAAAAATTCGTCCAAATCTTTAACAGAATTTTCAGTCTTTAACCTTAAGTTTGATATGCATTTCATCTTTTTTTACATAATTCTATTACCCTTAACATTAAATTTTCCTTGTGTGAGAAGCACAATCTAACTTTTAAATGGGCAACATTGGTAAAACATTGTAGTTAATCACTTTATGCCCTTGTTTGGTGGTATTTTTTGGAAAAAATATTATTTTAAATAGTGAATTTTTGAAGAATGTGTGATTAAAAAATTGTTGAAAGTTTTGGATTTACGTGTAGAATATTTTATTGTGTGAATGTATGACTGAAAAATGAATATGTAGAGTTTTTTCCGTCTTTAGTCAGTAAAGGTCAATCAATAGTCATTTATTATTAAATATATTTTTTCAAAACTCATTTTCATTCACACGTTTTACCATAAAATAATTTTACACGTAAATAAAAAAAAATTCTTATTTTCGAATCATACATTATCGAAAAAATCACTACTTCAAAACATATTTTTTTTTCCAAAAATTGGGGGTCAAACGGAGGCTTTATAATCTTCTCTTCGCGTTTTAGTAACAGTGACTGCCCACATTTCAGGAGCCCGACTCAGCAAAGGTCTCCACAATATAGATCTACTGATAAATATGGCAACATCTCCAGGGATACTGTTGAATGCCTTCAGTCAATTTTTGAGTAAAAGGAGCATGATAACGATGACGAGGAATGGATAACTAGCAACTTGAAGACTTGAAGTTAATAAATGAACTGAAAGGCCGTGTTTGCAAAGATGGAAAAAAACTAGTACTGAAATTTTCAAAAGAAGTTTAAAGAGGTAGCCCACGCTTAAGTAGGCATAGAGAGTTCCTTTAGAATCAGCCTCAAGTGCCCTGGCCAGTTTACGGAACCAATCCACTCTTTCATGTTATTTTCTGATTCATTCTTTCTACTTTCTTGTTGCCTTGGAATTGCAAGTCTTTGTACCTTTACCAGTGACATTTACAATCTCAAAGACGGGGGTTGATGATAAAGTTTTCATCAAAATGGTTGAAGTAATGATGCTACTTTTTTGTTGTCTTCGCGACAGTGTAATGCTTTAAATGCATATAAAGCATAGATGCTTAGCTCAGCTCCTTCCTGGATGTGAACTGGAGATCTTGGATTGTTAGACTAATCTCAGGTTCCCGTGCAGGGTTCTGAATCTAAAAAAGTATCACAACCATTCTACCCAATCTGCCTCCAAATAGAATGCCAAACACGGTACATATACTAGTATCAAAGTGAATTTGTACAACTCTGGCTGTTCATAATCTACTAGTCCCTTTCAATTTTGCTAATGACAATACACTCTGACCTATAATTGAATTTATTTGATAGAACCCCAAATTACTAATTTGTTCAAATGTCAATTATGCAAGGGTATCGTGGGGATTAATATAATAACTTGTATAGGCTGTTGCCTATAAATAGGTGGGCAATGTTTCATTTAGGGCATGCAAAAATAGTGAGTGAAAACCATATTGTGGAGAGTACATCCTCTCGAAAGGCTGATTGCATTTCCTTTATTTCTGTAATTCATCTTACAATCAATACAGTTCTATAATTTCTGCAATTATTCTTCTATTTCATTGAAGACTCGGGTGGTTCCTATCATTATTTCAAAGACTTTCATTACACTTAGTGAACATTCAATGGATGTATTCATAATCTAATGTCATCATGGGGATTCCAGCCCACCCCAGTGCTGCCTTCTGTATGTTTTGCCTTGATATGGGGTTTCAGTGTTCAAATAATCCAATTATTCTACATTTTTCCCATTACTTGTATATTTTTCAGTTATATTAGGAATTCCAACTTCTACGAGAGAGGCGACCTGAAAATTTTCTGAGGGATAAAAAGGGTCTCGCTAATTTAGGCTATGAAAAGTTCCACTTGGCAGCATGATTTCAACCTGGAAATGAAATTCTCCTCCTCATCAGAGACCTTGGCCTTTCACATTGAAAAATGCATCCTGACCTACCTACCTTTATGGGAGCATCCTCAACAATTGTTTTCTTTTCACACAGCCGAAGAAGACACATGACGAGACAGAGAGTTGAAGTGGCAGCTGAAGTAATGTATAAACCGCAGAAGCCGTTGGGACTCAACCTTTTGAATTAGAGTCTTCATTGGAATTTGAACAACTGTTTGAGGAACCAAGCCATTTCTTTTCCAGTTCTAAAAGAATGCCATCCTTCATTAGAGTTAGAATGGCTTCAGAGATATCGTGTGCTAATAGGGAGCCTTCCTGGAATACCAGTATAGAAAAGCAATAGAATTTCTATAAATTTATGCGTCAACTCCAGCAATATGTGCACAAAATTTTCCACACAACTCAAATTAGTCTGACCAGTTACAGAGTACTTACGAATCCTAGTCCTCCACTGTGCAGTGATCTTTGAGAAAAACTTCTTGGTAAAGGAGTTCAAGAAATGCAGCTGAAGTTTTCCCACTCTTAAGACTCCTCCAGATCGTCTTGATTGCTTATGGTTTTGAAATTTTTTCGTGGTCTTGTGTAATTCATCGGTACACTTCTATATTTTTTCTCCATGAGTTTGTTCAGTTCATTGGGTATATTGCTTTTTCATCAGATATATCTACTTTGCGTATAAACAAATCACGTAAATTCTGCCTTTATGTCAGTTACAACAAGTTCCAAAATTGACGATTCGAACATCCCTTTAACCAGAGGAAAGCAAAATTTCCAAATTCCTTTTATGAGGATGAGCATTAATGTGAAAAAACGTTCATCCATTTTATATCTAGATTTATAAGGCAAATTCTGGTCATTTTACTAATAGTATTTTCATGGTGAAAAATAAAGGAAAGAAAGAATCTTGAGTATATAGAAGTCTAAGCCTTCTAGTAAACTATGATTTGTAAATGAAAAAATAAAATGATGTCAAAGAAGATTTCTAAATTTTACATTCTTGTTGGGTGCGAACTGCAGATCTTGGATATGTAGACTAATACCAGGTTCCCGTACAAGCTTCTAAATCCCAAAAAAATGTCATATTTATGCCTATTCTTGAAGAAATAAAGTGCATTTTACCGGTTAGTCCCTCCAAATCTGAGCAGGCCCGCACATTTTGCCACCTCTATGCCAAAGAAAGTTGATACACTACAAACCAAACAATGCGACACATTTTCGCACCCACACCAAACATTATAACACAGCTCATATACTATTTCAAGAAGGCTGTTTGATACAATTAGATGTCTCAATATTGGCTACCTACCCGGACCGGAGCCGGAAAGGGGTAATATAGCCCAAATGACACTAAACAACTAAACAGATGAATATATGAATTTCTTTACTTGACTTTCTATACTTCAGTGAAGACTCAATGGATGTCCAAATGACACTAAACAACTAAACAAAAGAATATGTGAATTTCTTTACATGACTTTCTATACTTCAGTGAAGACTCAATGGATGTACTGATTAAGTTATATTAAAGGCCAGATCCAATGCGGTTCCCCGCTGTAGTATTTTATACAATATGTTTGGTACACAGGATCAGACTTGGCTTGACATTACTTAAATAATGTACAATAAGGTTTAATCCACCTTACCAAATATGCCACTCAAGTTCGAAGAGAACATGAGATGTAATTAGCATCCTCCAGTAATTCTACATTTCTCCCATTGTTCCGAAGTCATGTATTATGTTCAATTATCTCTGGGAGTTCCGACTTCTGCAGGGAGGAAGCCCGAAAAATCTGAGAGGCATCCGGAGGACTCCCTAATTCAATCGTTTCAGCACCTTTAGAGAAATTAAATGTGCTTCTCCTCCTCAGAGACTTCGGCCGTCCACCATGAAAATACTGCTCTAACCTATTCGTTGTGTTAGGAACACCCTCAACAATTTGAGTAACATCACGTGCATGTTCTTCACAGAACTTTAATTTCTTTTTCAACAACTGAAGAGCGGAAATGAGGAAACAGAGAGTTGAAATGGCAGCAGAAACAAGGTATAGACCCCAGAAACTCCTGAAACTCAATCTTTCTGTTTCAGAGTTAGCATCAGAATTTGAACAACTGTCTGGTGGACCAAACCATTTCTCTTTCAAGCGATTAAGCTTTCCGTCCTCCATTAACGTTAGAAGGGCATCTGAAACATCGCGAGCTATTGGAGAATTTTTCTGGAATACCTTTTTATGAAAACCCACAAAAATTGATGTGTTAATTCCAGTAATACTTGCAGAAAATTTTAGGAACGTGACAACTCAATCACAAGTTACAGAATACTTACAAACCCTAGTCCTCCAAAGCTGTAGGTAGGCCCAGTTACTGTATACTCTTTGCAGTGATCTTTGAGAAAAACGTTCTGGTAAGGGAGTTCAAGATATGCAGCAGAGATATTTCCATTCTTAAATTCCTCTGAATAACGGTCTTGGCTGCTTATGGTTTTGATATTTGGAAGGTCAATTACATTCCTCAGATAATCTTCTACAAAAGAGTCACCGTCGCATCCAACTGTAGCATTAGTTTTCATTATCCAATCTAAACCAGTCACACTTGCCTCAAGTCGTGGGACAGTCAGCATTGAAGCGAGGTTAGCCTCATAACTTGAGATTAATATCAACACAACAAAGAGCCACACCACAACCACTATTTTAGTATAATTGCTTTTAATTTCTTCTCCTGCAAAATATATAACCCCGAAAATATAAGTATATTACCTCAGATATGAAACAGAAATAGTTCGTAAATGCTTGAATGTCGAATCTCTAAGCATGTCTGGTACGACAAGAATAAACACTGATATAAACAAAACATTAGTTTCTTTTTCTTCCACAAAACTACGAGACACTATCACGTTATTTAAGATGCTTACTGTGAGCGAAGAATAGAGAAGAGAATGTAAACCACATTGCAGTTGCAAGTTGATCTCTCCTTGGCCCTTTAAATTCTGGATTAGATTGATGCTCCATAAACCAAATGACGAACATTGTGTAGAATAAAATGGCTAAAGTAACCGTCCACATATTCCTAGTGAAAGGCTTCGTAAATATCCACTCCATCTGGGGTTCAGTTTTGACTGGAACCAACATTGACAAGCCAGACTCCATAAACGGTTGAGTAAATTCTACAGTTCTTGAACGGTCGGCTAAGATGGTTATATCGCCCACAGCAGCATCAAAGCTCTTTCATGGACATTGCAAAAAAAGAAAAAAGAAACAAGAATTAGTAAATATGTTTAGTTATTTAGGTTCTGAATACTTCATATTTCTTATTGACAAGATGGAGAAAATGCAGGGATTTAGGCAGATTATATGCTTTTTAATTACAAATCTAAATATTTATGGATCAATCAAATGTACGCGGACGTCTACTGAAGAAACTTAGATCTCATTCGTACTAGAAGAAGAAAAACAGTCAATATTATAGATCCTTTATTGAAAAGAAGAATGTCTCAGATGAAAGTATTACCTTATTGGCGACATTCTCAACCAGTTCACTATAGCTACCATTGAAGGGCACAAATTCATAAGGCAGGGGATATCCCAATACTTTTATCACCTCTTCGAAAATATCAATGCAAAAACCATCATATATCTTCTCATTTGTCTTTTGGACATGCTTTACCTTTACAAACACTGGGAAGGAATTGTTTCCCGGAACTCCAATTCTCAATGGGGCTACATCGGTAGGCATTTCCCATCCTTTTGGACCTCGATCCAATTCCCCTGGCCAATTTACCAAACTGCGCAATTCGTTCATACTGTCAACACCAATAACCACACCGCCCTTCTTCTCCACATGGCTCTCTGAGAAGTTAAATTGTGATGACCAGAAGCCTAGCTCTTTATAACTCCTTCCAACAATGTTAATAATCTTGAATATAGATTTCTGCTTTAATTTCCCACTATGGAAACAAATTTCACCACTTAGTCCAGTGAAATTACTGGACAGAATTTCATTGAGCAGCAACTTTGGATTACTATTATTGTTCCCACTTAATTCTTTCACAGCTTCTGCTATAGCTGTAATGCTATCATATGTCTGGACAGAATTTCATTGAGCAGCAACTTTGGATTACTAGTATTGTTCCCACCTAATACTTTCACAGCTTCCGTTATCGCTGTAATGCTATCATATGCTTTTAGAGCATGAATTCCAAGACCCCAGTTGTCTTCATCTGGATACTCCAGTCTGAAATTCTTCCGAAATTGATCTTTAAAGTCTAGAAAATGCCTGTTGTTTTCTGAATAATAGCTCTTGATACCTATAGCACCTTGTGCAGAAGAGACCAAATTGGGGTCAACAGAATCCAGAAAATCTGAAATAGAGTCTGTCAGAATCCATACTGAATCTCTACCCATTAGTCCTATCTGCTTAGCTTCTCTGAGTAAATGTGTAGCCAGTGGTAAGGATGATTGAAGAACGATAAAAACTCGAGACTGCTTCCTCAATAACTCCGCTGCTTCTCGTCGAACAAACCCCTCTGGATCAGATAGAGACGAGAATGGTGGAAGGATGAGATCATACTCAATAGCTGCACCAACATTTTGAAGAGCCTCCGATAACATAGGAAGCAACCCAGAATCAGCAAAATAACTGCTGTCTTCATGAATTACTATTACTTTTCGCCAGTGGTAGGAATTGACAATAGCTGCAATACAATTTATCTGTTCCTGGCTATCGGTGGCCATCTCTACCAAGAAAGGCCATCGATTCTGGGTCGATGGCTGTGTACTGGAAGCTGCAACTAATGTAAGGACTGGCACTTGCGCTGGCTTTCCAACATCGGAGGCTAATGCTGCTTCCTCCCATGTTCGTGTCCCAATAATAACTTGAACTTGATTCCCTCCAATCAGCTCTTTGACTGCAACACAAGAAAACGAATTTGATCATTTCTGCTGGATATAAGAAATCATAGTTTCAAGGAAGAGAGATTTTTTTGAGACATTTAAACTGAGTATCGTGAAAAATCATTTTGGCAAGACCCATGCTTGATTTATCTGGATGCGGCATATGGCTTATTTCGAGTATAAATTATGACACCTGATGCTATATTAAAAAGGGTATCGTCTCTATATGATGCAACCTCCCGGTTCAAAGACTCTTTTATATAGAGAATAAATATATCAAGATAGATACCTGTAGAAATAGCCTGAACAGGGTCTTTGCTGGCGTTTCTGAAATAAATATTCAGCCTGTGATTACTTGAATTGTTGTTGAAGTTCTGCAAGGCCATGATCATGGCAATTTTCTGTTCCTTCCCGACGCGGGAATCAACATCAATAATTGCTCCAATATTTGTGACTGAATTGTCAGCTTGTACTGCTAAGCTAAGACAAAACGTGAACACAAAAGACGCAAGAACGAGAGATGACAAACTGGAAACTTTTGAACCTGCTTTGCTGCCAGATAAACGAAAAGGCATTGTCTTCTTCAGGTCGTTAAAAATGATTAATACCAATGGTTTATTAAATTCAATTGCTACTTTTATGGACAAAAAAGTTGGAAAGACTTGAGAAAAAAAATTAATCAATCGAATAAATAGAATTGTATTATTGCTGACTTTCAGAAATTAATCGTATGGAATTTTCTTGATAATAATCCGGAGGTTTAACGTAGATAAGTCTAAGTCGCCGTTTGTCCAAATGAATGTGAAGGGGAAGATTCTCCTTAATAAGGAACATTGACATGTCTAAAATCGAAAAATGTCAACTGTAAGCAAAAATAAGTTGTGGATTTTGTTCCACTTCAATAACGTCAACGATCCTGCACTAGTCAAAGAGAAAAATAAAACGTTGACGATGATTTTTAAAAATACAAAATAAAAACTACAGTATAAAGGCGCTTGCCGACTGAATTTCCTCCCAGCCTTGTTTGATTTTTTTTTTTTAAATATATTTTTCTCTCTTTTCTTTTGAGCTATACATTCTTCAATAAAATAATATTACATGCAACACAAAATTTTTTCCATCACAATCTTATTTTACTTTTTGAAAAATTGTGCAATTAGTCACTAACCTTTAGCATTTTTGAAAAAATTCGTCCAAATCTTTAACAGAATTTTCAGTCTTTAACCTTAAGTTTCATATGCATTTCTTCATTTTTTGCATAATTCTATTAGCCTTAACATTATGTGAGAAGCACAATCTAACTTTTAAATGGGCAAACATTGGTAAAACATTGTAGTTAATCACTTTATGCCCTTGTTTGGTGGTATTTTTTGGAAAAAAATATTATTTTGAATAGTGAATTTTTGAAGAATGTGTGATTAAAAAATTGGTGAAAGTTTTGGATTTACGTGTAGAATATTTTATTGTGTGAATGTATGCCTGAAAAATGAATATGTAGAGTTTTTTTTTTTTAAAGAATAGGAGACAAACATCGACTATATAAAAATGTTTTGATTCTCTTTCCATTATTTTAAATATATTTTTATTTACGCTACCACAAAGTTGATTAATTTTCTGTTTATAACTAAATTAATCTTGTCGTAGAACTTGTTCATATAGCATGGTTGTACGTAAAATTCAAGCTATAGAAATCGTCAAGGCTTTGAAAAAATGGTTAAAACTACAATGTCCAAAAAAGTGTTCAAAATACAAAAATAGTACAGATTAAAGAAGTCATTGAGTTCATCAAAATGGTCGTTGCTCAAACGCGTTAACTCAAAAATCAATTTGACAAAAAAATAAATAAATTCTTAACGTTTATGAAGAATAATTTCACCTCCGCCAACCTTCAATTATTGAAGTATTTTGGGTCTTTTTGGATGAGATTGTCCAAACTATCGAGAAAACAATATTGCCCTCAAGTTCAAAAATACATATTACTATAATTCATCTCGAAGTGTTTCCATATTTTGAAAACGTCGTATAGTTACATCATTATCAATTTCTTTAAATACATCATTAATCTCAATATGGAGTGTCGGTCCTACGATTTTCGGAGCATGATGCGAACTTCATAAATCAAGTTCCCAATGAAATCATATAAGTCGACAAGGCTCCATAGTTTCTCTGTAAATACCTCTCTCAAGTGTTGTCATCATGCTGTACAAAACCACAAATAAGTGTCTAAACTATAAAGAAAATGTTATAGCAAAAATAATCTGTATTTGCTATAGAAAAAAAAAATTCTTTCATGGTTTCTTCTTATAGATCTAACAAAACCCACAAGCATAGTGTGCTACATACCCTAAAACTTCAATTATAGTGGCAAAAACCCTTCCCAATAGGAAAAAAGTATTAATTCTCTTCTATCTTATAAACATAAAAAAGGTTGAGTTTTTTTTTTTCAAAATCCAAATCTCATAAAATCCAAAAAAGCATAATCATCAAGGAAAAAAAAAAACCACATATATATGACGAAGTGATGTTGGTATGTATATACGTACTTAGAGCTACTGCAAATGGCGAACTCAGGGTGGGTATCACACGCACAAAAAGAAGAGGATTTAACGAAAAAGTGGAATCGACGTCAACTAAAAAATTTTTCGCGATGTCTGTTTTAGACTTTTAGTAGAAGTTTGAGACAATTTTGGGTGGAAACGTTCCCCTTTGAGAATTAAGGGTTAATTCTGAATATTATGGCTTTTGATTTTAATCATGTGTCATTTCTTTAAATAAAGCTTGTAAGCCTTACGGCACTTAGTTATTTTTTATTATAGGAAAAATTCTTGATTTTCTCTCAACATTCTCTATTTCTTGGCATTTGTAAAAGAATAAGTTTGAATTTTCAAAGGAAATTTGTTCTTTCCTATAAACTTTGGGTACATCACATACATTTTGCTGCCTCTATGCTAGAAAAATACATAATCTCAAGATGAACAGCCTGACATATTTTGACCTTTACCCAAAACACAAGTCACGCAAAAATTTCAAGAATGTTATATTTGATTTAAATTTACACAAAGAAAGCTGTTCATAATATTTATATATATATATATTTTTTCTTTTGTAAATGGCCCAATATGCCATATCTGGATTTACTTGCATACAATTTTTACATTCTAACAGTTCAGGGTATATTTGGTATGCAGAATCGAAAAGGATCCGATCTGTCCTATACAGCTTTTAATCTACATTACCGAACATTTCATTTGTCATAACATTTAGATCAAGTAAACGTACTCCTCCTCATTAGAGGCTTCGGCCTTCCACCATGAAAAAACTGCGCCAAACTAGCCATTGTGTCAGGAAGAACGCCCTGGACATTTTGAGCAAGATCATATGAATGTACTTGGCTGTCTTTTGATTTCTTTTTCAACAACTGAAGAATGAAAATAAGGAGACAGAGAGTTGAAATGGCAACAGAAACAAGGAATAAACCCCAGAAACTCTTGAGACTCAAACTTTCTGTTCCAGAATTTGAACAATTGTCTGAGGAACCAAGGTACTCATTTTCCAATTCTTTAATCCTTCTTTATATGAGAAGTGATTGGCTGCTGGGAATTGGAATAAGACTTCAATTGCACTTGGAAGTCTAATTTCACCAGTATTGATTGGTGACCAAGAAAATTATATATAGGCTGAAGAGAATCAGAAAAAGGGGGGAGAAAAAACGTGGTAAAAAGAAATAGGAAGAAAGAGAAAGAAGAAAGAGAGAGAGAGAGAGAAGAAAAGAGAAAGAAGAAAGAGGAAAAAAGGAAAAAGAAAGTCAACAGGAGAAGGAAAAAAAACGCAGAGAAAGAAAGAAAAAAGATGAAAGAGAAAAGAAAAAGAAAAGAAAGCTACAAACACCAAAAATTTTCAGTAAAAAAAGGAGGGGAGGGGGGGGAATTCACAACTCAGGCTTTATGTATCCCAAAATAAAAAATCAGGCCCCAAAGTTTTGAATTGCAAAAATCAGATTTTTCATGAATTAATTAATTATATTTCACAATTATTACATTAAATTAAATATTTAACTGTAATATAATATAATTATCCCACCCCACCCCACCCCATCCCATCCTACCCCACCCCCTTCCGGCGACTACTCCTGTGACCAGCGAGCACTTCGACGACTGTTCTCCGATCACAGATCAAAAATTTGGTAGGTTACAGATTATTTCGCGGTTACAGATCTAAAATATTTAGGTCACAATTTTTTTATCGGTCACAGATAAAAAATTTTGTAGATCACGAATTATTTTCGAGGTCACAGATCGACCGAAAAAATTTATTTGTCACAGGTCACAGATCGACCAAATAGATAGTTACAGACACTTCGACCCATCCACCGCACCCGTCCCCCAATCCCACCAACAACCACCACCGTCGTCGTCATCTGCACAGCATCACCAACAACGTCGCCCCCATGACAACACCACCACAACCACAATAATAAAAAAAACAACCATCATCATCAACGCCTGTACCACAACACCAAGAAACCCACCACTACCACTGTCGACCCTGCCAAAACACGGCCACAACCATCGGCACAACAATAACAAAAAACGACCACCACCCCACGGGCCACCATTATCTCACATGGGCCCCACACACAGAGGTCCACCACACGAATTCCCTTAGCCATACACACACATCCGCCACACATAGAGATCTGCCTCGCCACAGGCCCACACACATCTAGCTCAGCTTCATCCAATTCCCGTTGCAGCTGTTTCCCCACAGCTATACAGCATCACGACGCTGCCGGCAGAAGCGTCGAGGCGCTGTTGTGATTGATAGCAGCTCTCAGTAGCGTTGCGACGCTACTGTGAAAGGCAGCAGCGTCGCAGCAGCGTCGAGGAGCTGCGATTTACAGCAGGGCCTCGATGCTGCTGTCGGCAGGGAGGAGGGGGATAGAGAAAGGAGGGAGAAGGGGAAAGGGAGGAGGCGGCAGGGATGGAGGGGAGAGGGAAAGGGAGAGAGGGAGAGAGGGCAAAGGGAGAGAGAGACGATGTGTGGGGGGGGGGGTGAGGAATTGATAAATAAATTAGGGTTTAAAAGATTAATTATTTAATTAAAATGATAAAAAACCTGATAAATGAAAAAAAAAAAAAAAGGTGAAAACCTGATTATTAAAAAGGCCAAACTTAAGACCTGGTTTGGTGTAATTTCCTAAAAAAAATTTTGTTACAGCCCGTGTCTTTCTCAACTGGATGTTGAAGATGTGGTTCAACTTTGATCCAGCAATGCCTTTTTAACGAAACCCATGTCTTATTCCTAAAGAATAGGCTGAAATTTCAAATGGGTTTTTGAGTATTCAGTTAAGTACTATGAGAAATGGTGAAAAAGATGAGAAAAATTATGAGAATAGTGAGTTTTGGAAGCAGCCTGATAGGATGGGTTATAGGCTGTGTTTGGATTTCAGTGAGATGAGATTGTTAAGGACATGACAAAATATTTGATGGTGGTGGTTTCAGGAGGGATGAGTCAACAGAGAAATCAGATTGTTGATGCCGTTGTGATTGCAAGAATTCTTGGGGCTGCTCTTGTTGTGCCCATCTTGCAAGTTAATGTCATCCGGGGTGATGAAAGGTTTGTCATTTCTTTTTCCAATCTTTATTTTACTTCTTGTTTTTACAAGTTCTGCGATTGAACCTCCCATTTTATGAAGTAAAGTCATTTTGTGCCCTTTAATCAATGAAATATTCTTATCATGTTTTTGTCATTTCTGTTTGCTTTGGATAGCACTATTTTGATTAACAATACCACTCAAATTTTAACACTTGTCAATTTGATGGATTGAAATTCTATTTGTTGGAGTGTTAAGTTATAGATTGAATTTCCTTCTTTTATGATAATAGTTTCTCTATGGTTAAATCATTTTGTTTATCTTGCGATTGTGCAGTGAATTTTCTGATATATTTGATTTGGAACATTTCAAGAATGTTTTGGCAAATGATGTTAGAATAGTTTCGTCGCTTCCTTCTACGCATTTGATGACAAGGCCGGTCGAGGAGAAAAGAACTCCATTTCATGCTTCTCCCGAGTGGATTCACTCACGCTAGCTTAAGCGTGTAAGAAAAGATAGTTCGAGTTATTTAACTGGCTTATATGTTTGTGGCTAAGAAGATTGGTGTTGGTATCACTAATATAAGAAGTAGAAAATATGTGAAAGAAGTAGTATGCTTTGGTGGTAGCTTAGTTTAGTGTTTTATCAATGTCCCGCAGCAGATCAATAAACTCCTCGTTAAAGAATTCATTCCTTCTATGAATATGCTATAAAATATCGTCGGGTACAATTTGAGTACCAAAAATGCTCTTGTGTACTATCCTCGTGTTGTTGATGTGTACTATGCTATAAATTATCGTCGGGTACAATTGTAATATGTAACGTTATATTACAATTTTTTTAGTTATATATAAATTTTATTCGTATATTCAATTTTAAAAAATTTTTGCCCCCCGTACGACACATTCCTGACTCCGCCCTGGGTGTTTGTATGTATATACGTACTTAGAGCAACTGCAAATGGCAAACTCAGGGTGGGTCTCGCACGCACAAAAAGAAGAGGATTTTATGAAAAAGTGGAATCGACGTTAACTAAAAAAAAATTTCACGATGTCTGTTTTAGACTTTTAGTAGAAGTTTGAGACAATTTTGGGTGGAAACGTTCTAATTTGAGAATTAAGGGTTAATTCTGAATATTATGGCTTTTGATTTTAATCGTGTTAGTCATTTCTTTAAATAAAGCTTGTAAGCCTTACGGCACTTAGTTATTTTTTATTATAGGAAAAATTCATGATTTTCTCTCAACATTCTCTATTTCTTGGCATTTGCTGCCTCTATGCTAGAAAAATACATAATCTCAAGATGAACAGCCTGACATATTTTGACCTCTACCCAGAACACAAGTCACGCAAAAATTTCAAGAATGTTATATTTGATTTAAATTTACACAAAGAAAGCTGTTCATAATATATTAATTTTTTTTTTCTTTTGCAAATGGCACAATATGCCATATCTGGATTTACTTGCATACAATATTTTACATTCTAACAGTTCAGGGTATATTTGGTATGCAGAACCGAAAAGGATCTGATCTGTCCTATACAGCTTTTAATCTACATTACCGAACATTTCATTTGTCATAACATTTAGATCAAGTAAACGTACTCCTCCTCGTTAGAGGCTTCGGCCTTCCACCATGAAAAAACTGCGCCAAACTAGCCATTGTGTCAGGAAGAACGCCCTGGACATTTTGAGCAAGATCATATGAATGTACTTGGCTGTCTTGTGATTTCTTTTTCAACAACTCAAGAATGTAAATGAGGAGACAGAGAGTTGAAATGGCGACAGAAACAAGGAATAAACCCCAGAAACTCTTGAGACTCAAACTTTCTGTTCCAGAATTTGAACAATTGTCCGAGGAACCAAGGTGGTATTCATTTTCCAATTCTTTAATCCTTCCAGTCTCCATTAAAGTTAGAATGGCTTCAGAAACATCGCGAGCTATTGGGGAGCCTTTCTGGAATACCTGTATACAAATTTCAAGCATTTGATATGTTCATTTCAGTAATACTTGCAGAAAATTTTAGAATTGTGACAACTCAAATTAGTATCACAAGTTACTGAATACTTACAAATCCCAGTCCTCCAAAACTGTAGGTAGGTCCAGTCACGGTGTAATCTTTGCAATGCTCATTGAGAAAAACTTTCTGGTGAGGAGCATCAAGAAATGCAGCTGAAATACTCTCTCTCTTAAATTCCTCCGGAAATTTGTTATAGTCGCTGATGATTTTGATATTTTTAAGTTCAAGTACATCCCTCAGATAATCTTTTACAAAAGAGGCATTATCGACTCCTACTGATGCATTTGTACTCTTTATCAAATCTAAACCAGTCACACTTGGCTCGAGTCTTGAGACAGTCAGCATTGAAGTGAGGCTAGCCTTGTAACTTGAGGATAATACCAATACAACAAAGAGCCACACCACAACCACCAGTTTTGTATAGTTGCTTTTAATTTTTTCTTCTGTAAAATATAAGTATATTTGCCTCAGATGTATACAGAAAAAGGTCCTTAATACTTCGTATGAAAGATTGAACAGTGCAATAATAAAAAAAAATTTGTTTCTCTTCCAATTAAAACTATGCAACATTGTCCTATCCACATTACAAAACTTGCACTAAATGATTAAGATGCTTACTATGAACGAAGAATAGAGAAGAGAATGTGAACCACATTGCAGTTCCAAGCTGATGTTTCCTTGACCCTTTAAATTCTTCATTAGTCTGATGCTCTATAAACCAAACAACGAACATCGTGTAAAATAAAATGGCTAAAGTAACCATCCACATGTTCCTAGTGAAAGGTTTAACAAACATCAATGCCATCTGGGGTTCAGATTTCACTGGAACCATCATTTGCAAGTCAGATTCCATAAATGGTAGAGTAAATTCCACGGATTTTGACCGGTTGGTTAAGATGGTTATGTCGCCCACTGCAGCAGCAAATTTCTACAATGTAATGTGAATCGCAAAAATACAAGAATTAGTTATCACATATATAATAAATTTAATTTTTTTATGTCGTTCTTAATGTTGACACTGGACGAGAGTGACTCAAATAGTTCTTTACAATCTAAAGGATGTTTGCTTCTACAAGTACAATTGAGGACAGGGTTGGGGAGCATGAAAATGCAGCACTCTTTTGATGAAATCTACTGAAGAAATTTAGCTAGCATACAATACACAATGTAGAAAAAGAGGCAAAATTATATTGCTATATATCCTTTTCTGAAAGAGTTTTGTATGTAAACACCAGTTTAGGATGTCTCAAATGAAATTATTACCTTATTCCTGACATTCTCAACCAGTTCATTGTGGCTACCATTGAAGGGCACAAATTTATAATGCAGGGTATAACATTTGCTCAACTCTTTTACCACCTCTTCGAAAAGTTTAATGCAAAAACCATCGAATTCGTTGTCATTTGATTCATTTGATGTTTTGTTCCAAATTGTAAAAGGAAGATGGTTTTCCGGAACTCCAATTTTCATGGGGTCTGCAGCAGTAGGCATTGCCCATCCTTTTGGGACTCGATCCAATTCCCCTGGCCAATTTACCGAGCTGAGGAATTCACCAATAACCCCACTGCCCTTCTCCTCCACAGACCTCTCTGAGAAGCCAAATTTTGATGACCAGATGCCTAGCTCTTTATACGTCGTGTTAACAATGTTAACAATCTTAAATGTAGATTTCCGCTGTAATTTTCCACCATGGAAACGAATTTCACCACTTAGTCCAATGAAATTGCTGGATTGAATTTCATTGAGCAGCAATTTTGGACGACTAGTACTGTTCATACCTAATTCTTTTACTGCTTCGGCAATAGCTGTAATGCTATCGTATGCTTTTAGAGCATGGATTCCAGGATCCAAATTGACTTCATCTGGGTACGTCCATGAGAAATTCTTTCGGAATTGATCTTTCAGGTCTAGAAAATGCCGGTTGCTTTCTGAATAGTAGCTCTTAATCCCTATAGCACCTTGCGTGGACGAAATGAAAGAGGGATCAACAGAATCCAGAAGATCCGAAATAGAGTCTGTCAGAATCCATACTGAATCTCTACCCATTAGTCCATTCTCCTTCGCTTCTCTTAATAAATGCGTAGCCAGTGGTAAAGACGATTGAAGAACAATAAAAACACGAGACTGCTTCGTCTTTAGCTTTGCTACTTCTTCTCTAACATACCTTTTTGGATCAGTTAGAGAATAGAAAGGTGGAAGGGTCAGATCATATTCAATAGAGCTAACATTTTCAAGAGCTTTGGATAACGTAATATGTGACTCGGAATTAGCAAAATAACTGTTATCTTCATGAATAGTAATGATTTTTCGCCAGTGGTAGGAATTGACAATATCTGCAATACAATTTATCTGTTCCTTGCTATCGGTCGCCATTTGTACCAAGAAGGGCCATCGATTCTGGGTCGATGGCAGTGTACTGGAAGCTGCTGCTAATGAAAGGACTGGCACTTGCGCTTTCTTTCCAACATCGGCAGCTAAAGCTGCTTCCTCCCATGTTCGCGTCCCAATGATAACCTGCACTTGTTTCCTGCCAATCAGCTCTTCAGCTGCACCTCAAGCAAACGAATTTGATCAATTTCTGATGGATAATTATTGCAAGAGAAAAAAGGGTGTTGATGTGTATTTTGAGACATTTAAACCGAGTTTGGTGGCGCTGGTCGCCATTCTTGATTTTGTCTGGATACTTCCATTTAATTTGGTATATTTCGGTTATAAAATATGAAATAACATATTCAATATAAAGAACACATCAAGATACCTGTTGAAACAGTCTGAACAGGGTCCTCGCTGGTTTTTCTGAAATAAATCTTTAGCCTGTGATTCCTTGAATTGTTGTTGAAGTTCTGCACGGCCATGATCATGGCCATCTTCTGTTCCTTCCCAACGCGGGAATCAACATCGATAATTGCTCCAATATTTGTGGACGAATGCTCAGCCTCTACTACTAATCCAAGACAAATAGCGAACAGAAAAGATGCAAGAACTAGAGATAAAAAACCTGACACTTTTGAACCTGCTTTGCTGCTAGATAAATCAAAAGGCATTTCTTTTGCTGCGAAACAATCGTCCTGTCTTCTTTATGTCGTTAAAAATGATCTGTAAGTATCATGTATTTGGAATAATTAAGATCTAATTTTATCGACAGAAAAGTATATGGAAATGAGAAGAAGCAAAATAATAGAACTGTATCAGTGCTGACTTTTCAAAAATTTATCTTGTAGGAATTTCTTGAGATGCGTACCACAAGTGGTTTAACGTGTATAGGTCAAAGTCACCGTTGGTCCAAATGAGAATTGAATAATGGGAACACTGTCGCATCTAAAATCGAAAAATGTCAACTATATGCCAAAAACTTTCTTCCACTTCAATAACCTCAAAGAAAATAAAAAACTAAAAAATCAGGCCGCCTCGGTCAAAGTCGCCTACGCAATCGTCTAAATCTCAAAATTGGAGGAGGCTAAAAAATAGTACATGATAGGATTTCTTGATAATTCATTATTCAAAATAATTTTTTCTCGCCTAATATACATAATTTCGAGTGGTCAAACGAGTTCAATATTGCTCCTAATTTGATTTAATATGTAAACTAATATTAACAATCACGTAATTTATTTTAATGAGTTATAACTCAAATTTAGTTTATACAAATTTACTTTTACTCGAGATCATAATGTGTCATTTAATATGAGTTTCGAAATGAACCCAACATTGTAGAGTAACTTTCGCTCCTCCAATAAATAAACATTTGGCCTAATGATCTCGAAACTTATTTTCACTTTTGTCCTTCAAGATCTCAAATTTATCAAAAGGTGCCCTAATCAAAATTCTTAGCATCTGGTGATATGTATAATCATTAAATAATTTTAACCGTCAATCATAATCTAAAAATATATCTTACTATTTACAATCTAGTCCCTAAATTTTGTTCTTTTTGCATCCAGTGACTTATCCTATGTTTAAGTTCTGAAAATCACCCTTCTCCTCACCAATCATCCTTACAATATTTCTAGGACTTCATATTGGTACTTAAATGTTTTATTATTTAGGATTTAGTCATTAAACTTTCTAGAATTCGCTAAATTGCACCTTGCTCAAGTTTCTCCAATTAATAATTCTAGGAGATTATTATTTACACTTTGATAATATTTTCTTTCCAAACATGATAATTTTGCCAATTTGCATTTAGGTCCCAAACCTTTTAAAAATATGCTAATAGACTCAAAGGCTTTTTAAAAAATTTAAAGGTTTTACGACCTCCTCTCTTTCAAATAAACTTCGTCCCTTAAAATTTGGGTAGTTTGATTACTGATTTTGCATCTCAAAATTTGAGAAGACTAACTATTATGCTAGCATAATCTCTTAGGTGGAGAGAGATTTTATTTTGCTACTATATCTTTTGGATTGTACAACATCTTTGTTTAAATATAAGCCGCTGTTTGATGTAGTTAAAAATTAGATTTTAGTAGATTTTGATAAAGTTTAATGAAATGTGTAGTTGAAAAATTGTGGACCTCGTGAAATATGGGGTTAAAATTAATTACTAATTTTGATTTAAATTTTTATCAAATTTTTAGCTAGACCAAACAGGGGCTAAATATGTTATTCATTTAAATATTTCTACGCTTATATAAAAAAAAATGTTTATGGGATTTGTTAATGGTAAAAATCGGATCAACAAATCATCTCACTTAACTATGATTTTCACATCCTAAGCTATCTACTTTCGATGCCAAACTTGGAGTGAAAAGGGAAATAGCCATTTAAGAGGAAAATATCTGAATTGCGTGCTTTCTCTTCAAAAGTTGGGGTCAATGGGTTATTTGTTCATTTGATGTGGGTGACAGATGGTTATCTTGTAATTGATTCTGTTAAAAGTACCACGTTTTATTCATTGAACCACGTGTTATTTTATTGATGGCATGTAACTAGTCTGAGGGAAAGATTCCCCTACTTTTGAGAGAACTTCCTATGCTCTTATTTCCCTCGCGTGTTACTTTTGCGCTTCGTAAACAGCGGGATAAGTTCACGGATCACATTCTGTGGTTCAATAGATAGTCCCCGAAGTCTGATTTTACTATTCATATTAAATCTAGGACTTGTTAAACTTTTAGGATTACGTGATTTTATTTTTATTCACATCTCTTTGTTGTGGATGACGTTGATCATTTTGAAAGGATGTGCTATGATTGTCGCAATTACTTGCGTGTGCTACGGAGCCTTTTTGTGTATTTCTAGACAAATGGCACGTATGTATTTAATGCGTGTATCAAATAAGTGTTATGATTTGACGGCCTTGATATTTGATGGCCATGATTTTTTGGAAGGTTTGGATGGCTATGTTTTGTTTTGCAACATCCCACAATCCTCGTCCTTTTTCAGGATATGTATAACTATGCTATTCTTCTTTGGGGGTTTCGTTCTGACTTCTTCTTTGTGATTTCTTACCTTGTGGTAGATATTTCTTTTTAGTGTTTCTATTCTTCTTCAAAAGTTTTTCTTCATTTAGCTTTTGTGAATCTCTTTGCTACCATGTCTTCTCAGAGCGACTCCCAGAATGTCATACGACTCTGAGGTTGAAAGTTCTAAACTTAGGCATTCTTGCCCTCGTGCATCGTCTTCTTATGAAGGATCTCAATATGTTGAGGAACTCAGCTTCAAAAGGCAATACTCATGTTTAAAAATTCATTTTATTCTTAAACTCATTTTCAATTACACATTTTTCAAAATTTTTCCTTAATTTTTAACCATAAATTATCCAAAATAAAGTAATTATTACAAAACTTATTCTCCAAAAAATGGGGCTCAAACAAACCCTCATATTCATCTTTCATCAGTGTTGTTCTGTTTAGTATTTTGATTTTTTTAATTAACAAGCAAGTGGATAACAAGTTGCCTAATGTGCACAATTTTGACACTCGGTGAATGTTCCATAGGAAATTCTGCCACCATTTTGGGGAATGCTCCAGACTTGGGTTCAATCCTCTCTAGTGGTGGCAATGGGCCGAGTTGAGCAGGCTCGAGTCCATTAGCCACGAGCTTGGCTTGTATGTCACTTGACCCACGAACTCAATGTTGTTGTTATTCTTATTATTATTATT